CCGGTGCGTGATCCTCTGGGGCCTCGTCATCTTCCGAGTTAGCGAGCGATCCTTCGCTAGCGTCCCCTTCGGAGATAGCCCCCTGGTTCGGCCAGCATAGCTTGCACACATGTGTGTACTCATGCGGCTCCGGAACCGAATCAAAAACCCTAGCGTTGCGGAAAGCACGCCGCTTCCCCATCCAACAACCTGTAGCGCCCGCTTTGTGCAGGCGGAAAATGGCACCTGGGACCTCTACGATTACATAGCTGCCCTGGCTGCGGTCGGGAACCCTGGCCTGCTTCTTAGCGGGCCGTTCCACGACCTCTGCAGAGGCCTCGGAGCTACTCCCGGCCACTAGCGGTTCCGCGGGCTCGTCCGGTCCCTCGGGAACCTCTAGCTCTTCCGCCTCGGTCGGGACTCCTAGCAGGCCCTCCATCCAGATCTTCCGCAGCCTCGCCGCCATGTGGATAGCCTGGCTGTGGGTTAGCTTGGCCCTTGCTTCCAGCCAGGGCTCGTCGAGCGCCTCGTAGCGGTCGTCCCCCCTAGCTGTCTTAGCGAAGAGAGCTTGGAGACGGGACACCCTACCCGCAAAGGATCTAGCGTACACGTCGGACCCCTCGGGTTTCCAACGCCCTAGCAGATCCTTGTCTTGCGGGGGGATCTCCTTTAGCGCCAAACCTGTTGGTAGCACCGAGCGCTCACTGTGCTCCGTCCAATAGCCCTGGACCTCCCGTGGGTAGCCCATGATAGCCAGCAGCCCCGCGGTTGCCACCATAGCGTCCGCATAGGTAGCCATCTTCTTCTCCAGTTGCCCCACCCGGCCCAGCCGCGGCATGAGGTAATCCCGGGCGTAGTTAGCGTGGGCCTTGAGGAGATCGAAGCCGGTCACCAGCCAGCTCTTAGCGACCAGAAAGGCGTGCTCGGACACCACGACCGGTAGCTCCTTGACCCTTCTCGTAGCGCCGGAAGTCTTGGTCTTCCGGAGGATGGTGGTGAGTCGCCCCTCCACCATCACTAGCTCGGCCGGCAGGATAGCCTGAAGGTCCGACCATCTTAGCGTGGCCCAGACCTTGACCAACTTAGCCCAGGCCCAGATCCGCCAGCCTGCTGCCAGGACGGGGTTGATGACCACGAGCTCTAGCTGCCCCAGCATGTAGACGGGGTAGCGGGGCGCTCTCTTGATCAAGGGGGCTCCCTCCGCTAGCTGCTCCACTATGCTGTCCTTAGCGGCCCAGACCAGGCGACCAAAGGTGGTCCTCAGCTCCACCGGAAAATCGGCCACCTTCTCCATCCAGGAGATAGCCTTAAGAATAGCTTCCGGGACCGAACGGCCGCAGGGTTCATCACTCCTAGCGAGGAGGTAATCCACCAGGTCCGCGGCGGTGCTCGGGGGCGGCCTGAGCTTAATGCCGGTAGGCCCTGTCTAGCGTGCGCCTACGTTCCTGTTGGACCGTAGCCTGCGCCTCTAGCTCTGCCTCCATCTCCCAGCCCTCGAAGAGCACTCTCGTCTCTTCGGCTGCGGGTCGCTAGCTGGGCTCTGCGGGACCCACGAGGGTACCTCCCCGGAAGGAGCCCCCGCGGCATCGTCCCCCCCTAGCGTGGGGACCTCGGTGGGACACGAAGCACTTAGCGGGGGCGGGGAATCCCCAACCGCTGCTGCGCCATCTGGCGTGGTCGGCGCCAGGGTAGCGTCGCTGTCCGACATGGCAGCGCACCCAAAGCAGGGCTAATTAGCCCTGTTCCCCTTCCTACCCCCACTCGAAATTTGCCCCCCAATAGCTGGGGGCCTTTCAGCACAATGGCCACGGAGTAGCACTGCTTCACCGGCCATGTGCAGTCACTCTAGCAAACAGACAAGCTTCGTTCTGTTTAGCTTCAGAGGAAAACCCCTTCGAAGTTTTCTAGCGAAACACCTTCGATGTTTCCCAAAGGGATACTAGCGCTATACACTGTCGTACCTCGTCCCTCGGCACGAGTGCTAGCTGCAGCAGCTCGTGCTGCTTATCCAGGCTTAGCCGCTCGTAGAGCTGCTCCGCGAGGCTAGCCGGGTCGACTTCTAGCTCTTCCAACATGCGGAGTGTCTCTATCCTCTGGGCTAGCGTCCTGCTCCGACTGGTCTGCCCAGTTGGCAGACCTATCCATGGTGCCGTTAGCCGGCCGCAAAGGGCCCAGGAACTCGCCCACCTAGCGTGGGCTCTCCTCAATCTTGGTGGGCCGTTAATCCACCCTTCAAGCCAGCAGTAGCCACGGCAGATTCCTTTGTGCAAAGCTCTAGCGGACCACAGACTCACAAAGCAGCACATGTGCACATGCCCACTAGCCTGCCTCAGGACCTCGCAGCCTACGTCCTAGCCCGCAAGACAACAAGAAGCATAAGTGCAAGAACGTGATTCTCTCCTCTCACTCTCCTCTCCTTTCTCCCCCCCCCCCCCGAGGCCAACCGCCCCCCCAGAGGGATGGGAAGGAAGGAGTATATCCCGAGAGGCCTCCCCAAGAAGTATCCCCCGCGTTACCACCAGCGGATAGAGATATGCCGGACGGGTCGGATACTTACATCCGCTCCTACGGCGGCCGGGTGGCTAGACTCCAAGCTATCTACGCAGAGGCGGCTAGGGCCCGAGACCGGGAAGAACAGCTAGACGAGAGGGAGATCGCCGGCGACCTTGGTGGCTGGCTTCTTCGTACAGGCAAGGCTACGGAGCAAGACGCCAACAAGCTATCTGGAGAGCTACGACGCGAGTGGGCTAGCGAACGGATCGTGGAGTTGGTGGCTAGCTCTGGGCTACCTGAAGAAGTAGTGGCGAGCGACCCTCCCGAAGATGGACCCGAAGAGTCGGCTAGTGAGCCAGAGCTGGGACCGGAACCGCACCGGAACCGGCCGAGGCAGCTACTTAAGAAGGCTAGATGCACTAGCTATATCATAGTAGAGCTTCCCGGTAAGAAGTTTCGGCTACACAAGGGGAGGCAGGCCGGGTGCTGGATGGGCCGTCGCCGGATATTTAAGAATTGCCAAGAATTTTCGGCTAGACCGGAACCCGATCAGTACACGCATGTTTGCCGGCTATGTTGGCCGAAAGGCCGAGGAGAAGGGCCCCCGTCTAGTGATAGCGATACCACCGGAGACCAGAAGCCGGAGCCGGGAGAGGATGTAGCTTCAGGAGAGGCCCTGGCGGCAGAGCTGCCGGGGGGACCCCCAGGTGGGGTCTGCCATTTGCAAACTGAGTGGATAGATGCAGCGGAAACGGCGGGGCTCAAGCCGGTGGGTAGCACGGCCCTCTCACTGTGCTCGGACCAGTAGCCTCTAGCCACCACTGGTATCCCTTCCATAGCCAGTAGCCCTGCAGTTGCCACCATCGCGTCAGCGTAGGTAGCCGTCTTCTTATCCAGGGCCCCCTTATCCCCAAGCCGCGTCCTCGAAATAGGCTCTTTCCCAGATGCATACAGGTAGCTCCCGTATGCGTCCGTTAGCCCCGGCAGTTTTCGTTCGCCTCAAATCGTCGATAGCCGGCCTTCCACCATAGCCAGCTCGTTCGGGATCATAGCCTGGAGATCCGACCACCGGAGGCTTTCCCAGACCTTCCGGAGCTTAGCTCAGGCCCAGACTCTCCAGCCAACGGCCACGCTAGGATAGCCTCTCGACCACCGTATCCTTGATGGCCCATGCAATCCTCGCCGAGGTAGCCTAGCCTCGGTAGTTGATCGCCTTAAGGATAGCCTCCGGCACTGTTCTGCCGCAGGGTTCATCCCCTCTAGCTAGATCTGCAGGTAGCCCAGGAAGCCGACCATCCTTAGCCTCCCGTAGACGTAGCGCTTCAGCGTGCTAGCCCGTGTCTTTCCGGCTAGAGCTGGGATTGCCCCACCCGGATCCAGGCTGCCCTGGAGTTTCTTCAATACGGGTGCTAATAGCCCAGGTAGCCTGTAGTACTTCTTCTTCTCTGGCCTGCGCCAAGGAGCCCTCATTGACCAAGCGCCTCTGTCTATCCCCTTTCGGAGGTTCCGGCTCGCTATCCTCCTGAAGGTCAATCCCTTCAATCGCCGGGCGCTTGCTGAGGTTCATCCAGGCCAGCGAGGTTGCTTTGTAGCCAAAGGTCCTTTCCACAAGGTCTCTAGCTTCCCGCACCTCCTGTATCCTTCCTCTGCCACCTGATGGCCTACCTCTTCCGCGTCCTCTAGATCAAGGGTAGCCAGCTCGAGTACACCGAAGCCCCGCGATGCCAGGTGCTGGTGGCACCTATCCAGCACCGCACGCCTCTGTACAAGTGCGCTATCCCTCAAGGACGGAAGTGCGATCGGACTCCCTATCCCGCCTGCGGGGGAACCCGGTCCCGCACCCTGCTCGCCCGGCGAAGCCGTAGGCAGGACGGTCGGACTTCCTAGCTCCTCGCCCCAGGGCTAGCCGAATCACCGTGGTTGCTGGTGACCGAGGGCTCGCCGTCCGCGAAGCAGAGGGGGTTCGAGGAGACGCCATTCTCGCTTGGCTAGGTAGCCAAGTTCCCCTTCTATCCCCTCTACTTCAAAATTACCCCCCCTGATGGAGGACTTTATCCAGAATGGCCACGGTCACAAATGCTCGTAGCCATTCCAAGTCACAGCTATCCTGTCTTCGCATGTCAGACGCAACTATCCTGCGAGCGACGATAGCGATCGAAACTTCGTTTCTAGCGAAGCTACCTTCAATAGCTTCGGGAGTAAATAGGTTAGCTAGCACACATAGTCGTAACTCGTTCCTCGTCACGAGGTACGTCTGAGCCGCCTGGATACGTCTGGTAGCTGTAAGATCCTCCATGCGACTGTAGCTGAGAGCGGCGCCGAGGTAGTCGTGCTTAGAGACGAGCGGCAGCCGCCACACTTGGTCCTCGTGCTGAAAGGTGATGTGCGGCTTTTTGCTGTGGGTGCTCACAAGTTTGGCACGGACTCGTTGGGCAGCCGTGCCGCCAAGATGCAGCAGAACCGCACACTTGGTGGGGGCAATAGAAAGGCCCAGTTTTTGCAGCACCCACAAGGCCTTGGAGATCGCCTTAAGCTGTTGATGTCTCGGAGTGGATCATTGCCTGAAACAGCGCGTCATCCGCAAACCACGTGCTATGGCGCTGGCTCCACTCCGGCCCCATCTCACTCATGATGAGTATGGTAAAGAGTGACCACACTCGGGGAGAGATCGCACAGCCCTGACGAATCCCCCTATTGCAGTTGATCTGGGCTCGGCACTGTTCGTGTTCAATGTGGTATATAATCCCGTGATGCCAGTTCTCAATCAGTCGACACACCTCCGGTGGCAAGCAACTCATTTCAAGAGCCTTATGCATGAACTCAGGCTCCAGGGAGTCAAAAGCTTTGCTGAGGTCGAGGGAAACCGTGATTGCTCCTGCCAGCTGCTGCCTGCGTTGGCCTGCATGTCGCTGCTGCAGGGTAAGACGTTGTTGTGCCACGACCTCCCGAGCTTGGTGGAGATGCTGAAATGCACGCATAAGGGCCTGAGGGACACCACGCCGGGGCAGGTACGCAAATTGCGGATACGGCGCCACGGAGTCATAGACGGCCTGGTGGTATTGTTGATACACGGCACCAAGGACAGCCTTGCCAACCGGATCAGTGAGCCCGATCGGGCGATACTCCTCAGCCTTGCGTCCCGTTTTTCCCGCCTTCAGGATCAGGCAAAGCCACGCATGTCGCCACTCTGGGGGAATCCAAAAGTGATCATGACGAGTCCTGCAGGATGGTGCGCTCTGCGAGTGCAGAGACTGATGCAGCAGCAGATTTCCAGGCCAAGCCCGGGGCGTAGTGGCTCGCCAGGGCTTTGTGTTGTGACAGTGAAGCAAGAGCAGTACGAAGCAAGGCCTCGGGCAGGTGATACTGATGGAGCGGGTCAGGGGTCCTGGGATGGTGGCTGCAATAGATCTGCTGCCAGTAATCTCGCAAAGTCTGAGTTTCCTGCTCGGGTGTCATAATGCAGCCACTAGCATCGCGGAGCTGTGGTTGTCGGTGTACAACTTTGGGCGCTATCTTGTTAACCTGCAGGTGTATTTCTCTGATGTCGCCACGTTGCGCGGCCTGTGTAGCCCGGCTAACGCACTCGTCGATGAATGCTTGCCTCTTGACCTTGCTCGCTGGCGGATCTGTTTTTGGAGCGCAGTGAACTCCCGCTGGAGGGCCAGACGCTGCGCAGCAGCCCCCGCCGTGGGGTCCTGCTTCAGAGTTTTTATTTGCCGGTGACACTGCCACGTTTGACAGGAGCATCATTGCCGTGGTGCGGCGTACCCGCCTGCTCTGTGCCAGGAACCAGCCTGGTTTGCAGCTCCTCCTGCAGGATTTGATTGACGAGGGTAGTGTCCCATTGGGTCAGGCGCGTTAAGCGTTCGTGCACAGCCGCTTGGAATTCCTCAACATCCCCTAACAGTAGCTTCCCCTGCCTGACCTGTGTATTGATGTATCTGGCCTCATTCACCCGCACGGGCGCACGCGAGGAGTAGAAGCAGTCAGCAGGAATCGAGGCCAGAAGAGGCCAGTGTTTTGGTCCACCTCGCCATGCTCCCAGGTCCGTGTCGATCAGAGTGGTGGTCTGTTTAGCCAGTGAGTCCGTTCTCCGGCCTCGAATGAGGATGTAATCGATTTGGCTTCTGACCTCGGTTTTGGTCTGATGCTGGTAGGTATGCTTGCAGGGAGTCGGCTGAAAGGTGTTAAGAGCACGAAGGTCAAACTGCTTCACAAGCTGTTGAAGGACATGTGCGTCTTGTGCCTCGGCAGCGTTACCTTTGGTAATGACAGCGGTGCCTGTGCATGGGGCGCGGTGTTGCAGGCTAGTGTTAAAATCACCGGCTATAATTAAGGAGTGTCTGCTAGGGCTGGTTGCGATAGCCTTTTGCAGGGCATCCCAAACCTCAGATCGCAAGTTGATGCACTCTTTGGTTCCATCGTGAACCCTTTGGTAGATGTTGATAAGGTAGTGCGTGCTGCTGTGGCAGTGCGCCTTGACAAGTAGCAGCCTACCCGAGACAAGGGCTTCACTGCGGATGCACGGCTGAGGGAAGCTGCGCCTGGCCAAGAGGATCATTACTCCCGAGTGGTGTGCACTGCAGCCTGAGGAGATCACAGATCACATGCCAATCATCCGAAGCAAATGCACGATCCTCAGACCAGTGCGTCTCCTGCAAGAAAACGACGTCTGGCTGGTGCATCTTTAACCAGACAAGCAGCTCGGTGTAGAGGGCTGAGGTAAGTCCTCCACAGTTGTAGCTCAAGATTCGGAGCCGCCGGTTACGGCGTCTTTGGGGTACCTGATTCTCCAAAGTGGGGTGCTTGACTGTGGCCGGCATCAAGTCAGCCTGCACCTTCCGAGCATGGCGCTGCGCGGAGCAATCGTCCCCGATACTGGGTGATACTCGTACCTTTGGCGTTTCTCACAGCATTCTTAAGGGCAGTTTTACGTATGACTTGCCCTGGATGCAGCGTGATCGGGCCTTCACCGCTAAGTTTCGCTCCCTCAACGTGGATCGATGTGGTAATGCAGTGGGGAGCTCCCTCTCCTGCCGCGGTAACAGGAGAAACCCTCGGCTTGACCGGGATGCACTGACTAAGGGTCGGACTAGCAAAGATAATTATCCAGCCCAGTATCCCCTTCAGGATTTGGGACCTGGATCGGCTTGGTTTAAGAGTGGTGCGTGACTATGGCTTGAGGTCTTCGGTGATACCTGTGCGGCGGTTGCCGCGGCAAAGCACACACAGTCGTCGTCTGTGAGACTTGCCTGGCGTCGGCCGAAGCCCCGCAGCTTGCTGCAAAGCAGGCTTATGCTGCACTGCTGTCCGACTGAAAGATTCAGTCAAAAGAAGCTGCCCTTCCCCTACACGGCGCAGCTAAACTGAAAGAAGAGGCACTGTGCCCCCTTGCTGAGAAAAAGCGTGACTGGGAGGAGAACCCTCGACCAGGAAACAGGGAGGAGAGCCCTCAACCTGTTAGAACTGAGAACTGCCCCCGCGAAGGCGGTAAGAGAGGAGGAACCCTCATCGAACCAGCATTCTCACAAGTGCAGCGAGGGTGGAACCTCAGCTTACCTGACTGCGGACGCAGGCTGGAGAGTGCACAAGAATAGGTACGAGTTGGATTGGACCACTTGGAACATCTGAGGGTCTGTCCTTCGCGCCTCCGTGTTGTCATCAGTGACAAAAATGACACCCCTGATGGAGGAGGCATGTGCGATAGTGACCGGCATATGGTGTGCGGCCTTCATGAAAAGCTATTGCATTGACTTGGTATCGCACATATTTGGTCCGTAACGTGCTCTCATCTCCCAGATGGGCACTGCAGTGACGGCTCATCGAATCTGATTGGCGTTGCGAGCTCTATCTTCTCCAAGTATTCAAAGAACGAAACAAAAGCAAAGCTTCTGTGGGCACCGGCCCTTTCCTTTCAGCAGAGGCTGCCCTCCGAGGCCAAGCTTTTTCCAAAAGTTCAGGCATATCTGAAAGCTAGCTTTCCTTATTCATTCGCTTATCCGGGGAAGCAATTTTTCATTCTCTCCTGACCTACCCCTTACGGGGCCTGCCCGGAGGCACATCGAAACACATTTATCAGAGGGATCACATTTGTAGGAAGCCGGCCGGTCCCGGCCCAGCTGTGCCTGCGGTCTTTGCCATTGCTTGCTTGCTTCTTTAATACACAAGCAAAGCTTCTGTGGGAACCTGCCCTTTCCTTTCAGCAGAGGCTGCCCTCCTTTCTAAGAAATTCAATACATTGCTATGAGGTTTTCTCCATGCATCCAGCCTTTTTGAATGGCTTTCTAATAGAGATTCACTACATTGCTATGGTTTTTAATAGAGCTCAAAGAGCCCCAGTGGAGGTTTTCTCTATGCATCCAGCCTTTTTGAATGGCTTTCTAATAAAGATTCAATACATTGCTATGGTTTTTAATAGAACCCAAAGAGCCCCAGTGGAGGTTTTCTTCATGCATCCAGCCTTTTTGAATGGCTTTCTAATAGAGATTCAATACATTGCTATGGTTTTTAATAGAGCCCAAAGAGCCCCAGTGGACCTACTATTTAGATGCTCGGATTACGGGAGATTTCCTAAGCCATACGTAAAACAAAAACCATGTCGATCGCTCGACCAGCCCGGAAACTGGCCTGCGTTTCCGGCATCAGATTATTGACCTCCGCATGTCGGTACAAACGTGCGTTTAAACTTTTACTAAAGACCTTGCCTGCACAGGAAGCCAGCAGAATACAACGCCCACGTTTACAATATGTAAGATGTCCCTTTGGGCAGCGGTATCAGATCGTTGTTCAGCCATTCCTCAGGCATTGGAGCCAGTCCACGGCACACCCGAGTACTGTGCTCATGTAAAATACGCAGGTTCACCACATCAAGGCACTTTAAAACCTCCGGACGCAACCCGTCTGGTCCTGTGGCCGTACCATGTTTTAGCTTGCTCACCGCCGCCGCGCCGATGTACATGTTGCCCGATACGCCTCTCTAGACCCCCCGTTCGAATATACATCAAAGGCATCTAAGCGCAGACGACTAAGTTCACCCAGGTGTACGGTGTTATCCAACTGCCACTGGGGCCGTGACTACAGGTGGCAACCCAACCTAAACCTGAACAAAGCAACGCAAACCATTGCGACCAAAGCTCGTACTCATCCAGTAACCCTTTCTGGGCCGACGTAAGCATTGTCTGATTGATGTGTCCACTTCCGTCGGGCCCAACCTAGAAACTTGCAGTCTCGGGATACGCTGTGATACCTCGCTGAGATTTACGAGTACACCCATTCCAAGCTCTTGGAGAGACACGAAAAGGCACTCGAATCATCCGATGATCCGTATCGAACACTATGCCTGGCATTAGTTTTGACGCCCAAGATCATACGCATAACGCACGCAGGCGCGAGGACATGATTAACGTCACGCCACTATTCAGTGCGCGCGCGCACCCAAGACCCGTAATACGCACGCCTGAAAAAGGTACCTGCAACCCTCAGGAGACCAGGAGAACCTTCGCAGTGTGCTAACAGCCGCTCGCCATTGTCATTAAGATGTCCCATCCCAAACGGTCCAACCGCATCGCCAGCGCTATATATACATAACCTATATATATATATATATATATATATCTACTCACCACACTGTAACGTGCCCTCTCCTCTCCATCTGTGTTCCGAACTGCAGCACAAAGGCATCTTGTGCTTTCTTGACAGCTCACACTCAAGTTCAGGCCTATCTACATCACTACCTTCAACTTGAAGCTCCCCTTCCGAAGAAATGGTAGTTTAAGAGTGCATAGTGCGAACATTGAACGCCCCCATACGAGATCGAAGCATCTGTGCTTCCAGGATGTACGGTGCTTGTCTGCACTTCACTCGTGTGACTCTCTCCGACTCTCCCCTCAAAGCTGTTGCGTCGAGTTCTGTTTTCACGGTCTTGGACAGAAAAGAGTCGGTGACGCCACACCTAAAGAGGGGAGTTGCCCTCGACCCTTGAGGGAAGGAAGACCCGGGCTCCCCATTAGGATGTGGCCCCGTTCTAAATTAAAGCGCCCTCTTCAGCCCTGCCGTCTATCAAGATGAGTCACAACGCTCAGCCAACAGCGGACAGGTTACACCCTGACACCCGGAGCGCTGACAATACAAGCTCGGGGACACGTAGAGCTGCATAGCCGTGAAATCGGCATTCCTCTTGCCTGTTATTGCCCAAGCGAACTAAGACGCCGAGTGTTGGACTAGGAGACAGCATATCTGAAAAAGCAGAACAAGCACGCGAAACGCAAACGGATCTTCGGTTCAAAAATCTTGCTTGAAAGATGCCCACATGCCCTCTGATGGAAAGCACAGTGCGCAAAGTTGTAGAGCTCAGCTCCCTTTGACGCGAGCAATGGCATTCTTGCGGTTGTGGCAATTTGGAAAGGTTAAGAGTATCTTATCCAGTGATAAATTTCTCTATTGTCCTCTGGCAAAGTCATTAGGAAGTACCTCTTCCTGAGAAAAGCTTCAGGCTTGCCTCTGCTAACCATATCCTCCGGTGATCCCACCTTGCTACGAGTAGGATCCCGAGTCTTAGCTGGTACCGAGGTCCTACTCTCGATTACCCCCAGGCAAATTCCAGGCAAAATCTGGAAGATTGTTCTACCCTTCCAAGAGTCAGTACTCCTTGCGGTAGAACGATCAGAAGAACTCCAGTCATCTTCTTGAGTCACACTCTTGCCCTTGGAGAACTCCATGATCGTCTTGCGCTTGCTGTCCACGTACTCCAACGGAGTGGGCACTGATCCTTCCTTGGAATCGTACTTGACCTTCCTCATCTGCTTGTGGATACGGATGCTTCATTGATCAACCACTCATCATCCGTCCTGTGAAGAGCCTCCCAAGGTCTTCTGATGGAACCCGTACTCGTAATGGGAGAAGTGAGGAAGCTCGACTTCTAGTGCTTGTCGAAGTGAAGGTTCCGGCTGAGATCGAGAAGATCAAGTACGAGGTGTGAGCTTGGAGCAACCTTTAGCTTCACATGACAATATTACAGTACAGGACTGCTAAGTAAGGCCTTGTCCGGATGGAGCTCGAACTGGAACCTAAGATTGCGCATCTGCGGCAAGGACATGAGAATAGGAAGATGCCCTTGTTCCACAATGTCGAACTCGGTTGACTGAACTGCATACTCATGGTCGTACATGCAAAGGATCAACTTCTGATTGCACTTGGCCGACTCGGAGTTGGCAAAGGTGAATTGAGACGTAGTCTCTGCTATTGTGTACCAAATGCCACAGCTCGGGTTCTGGTCGCAGAACTTCATCAGGTCCTGTGCGGCCACTCTCGAAGCCATAGCTCTCGTGCATTGCAAATCCAACACCATCGCAATCGGTGCAAGGCTTCCCCGATCTTGTCGATCTTGTCCTCGGTGGCCATGAAAGCACAGCTCAAATGGTTGACGTGTTCAACGAAGAACGTCGTGGCGGTTGTGATGCCGCTCGGGGCAGAATCTGCGAGCTTGGCTTTTGTCCGTCCTTCCCGGACATTCCATCCATTCCAGCTTTGCCAAATTCTTTCCTTTCTTTCCTCTTCCTTTGGCTGCATAGGACTCCTAAGACTCGTACCAGGACCAGTCATCCCAGGACTGATCATTCCATTGGCTGTCTTGCCATTGCCCTTCTGCTTGCCATGCATCTGTCTGATCATCGGCGAGGTTTGACCTGCCTTTTGAAGAAGCGCCTTCCACTGGAACCCTTGCCACCTTTTCCTTCGCCTTTGTCTTTGCGGCGGCCCTTGAACGCGCTTCATCTTGCGACCTTGGAAACGTCGCTGGAACCATGAATGATTCTCCTCGTCGTAGACCCAGAAGGCATTTTCATCGGCTTCAAGAAACCCTTCTGCGCCATCCTCCTCGGCTTCAACCCAGTAGCCTTCATGATTGTCCAGGTAGATTGCTGTTCACCTTCCAACCGATTTCTCAATGCTGGTCCACGCTTGTCGGCATCTATAGCTCAGTGATGTCACACCAGTCATCGATCGCATCCTCGTAGGCGAACCAACTACTTCGTCTATCATATGATGGCGGTACTTTTGTGGTCACCTGCTGGAAAGCTGAGAGATGAGATGACGATGATTCGTCGCATAGGGTTCATTACCATGAAGGCGGTGATCTTCATCTCCTTCGCCATGCTCAAACGTCGTCACAGAGTGGCCAGCCATTGCGCTGTCCCCGGATCGAGCCCCGGGAGAATACTCTTCCGGCTATCTTCAACTGTGTGGAGTGTGCCGGAGAGACTCCGGTCACCTTCACTTGTGTGAAGCACACCGGGGATCCGGTTGCCTCCACCTGTGCGGAGCGTACCGACGGGTACCTCCACAAGTGTGAAACTTCCCGTTTCCCGGGAGCTCCGCTACCGGGCGTGTCCTTCTGTTTGGTAGGCAGAGTCTACGGCTGATAACCTGCGAGAGGGCTTGGTACTCATGATTGTCTTGCTCGCTCCCTTCACACGAGCAAAACAGATGGCGTTGATGGTTGCCCTGGCAAACGTCCAGTGATAGATCACGTTCTCCACTCTCCCCTTGCAAGCAAACTGGGTCAGCTTCTTTTCTCGTCAGAGATGCGACGAGTTGTCTGTGCACGGGAATAGCTCTGATCCTGTCTCCTTTTACTGCAGGAGCACAGCTGTAAACAGTACTCTGCTAGAACCTTTAGCACAGGCATGGATACATGCAAGTGATACGTGAAACAGACAGGCACCTGGATGTGTAACATTCAGTGTTTCACCCCCTTGTTTTTTCGAACGCGGAAGGCTCTGATCAACGAGCCCATCAGCACCGACCTATCCTAATTCAGTTACTGGTGGCTTAAATTAGGCGCGGCCCTTGGGAGGTTTGTGAACTACCCTAGCCCAGAACTGACGGTCTTGGCACGTTGGGTGCACTTTACGAAATAAGGAGGTATTGTCCATCCAGATAAGTCCTGAGGAGCTGTGCTGCGGCAATAGCGTTATGGTTTGGTAGTTGGTAGAAGTTATGAGTACTTTGTTCGTGAGAAGGCGCAGCGTCCGAGAGCAAATGATCGATACGATTAGCTGCCTGTGTCATGCAGGATTCGGCCCAATGAATGCGGGGCCTGCCGGGCCTATTAGGAGCCCTAATGTGTCTGTACGCGTGGGAGGTCATGTATGTACACTGTTTTTCCAAAGATTCAGGATGTCTGTGGATGTGCCCAAACAGCTGTAGTCTTTGCTGTGAATATAATTGAGACGGAGTAATTACCTTACACGATCTGTAGGAGAGAGAAGCGAGATATTGATTGGAACATTGGGAGTCGGAGGGAGCCAATACTTTATGATAGAAGGAGGAGTTGATTTTGAAAATACGGCGCAAAGACTTGTAGTGTATGGAATCTAGTTTGCGCAGCTGTGGGGAGGTGAGCAAGACATTTTCCATAGCGTAAGTGAATATAGAAAGGACAATGCTTCTATAAATCGTAAGATTCCAACTGGGGGGAAGGCTAGCGTGGGAAAGGAGAGGTTTGAGCAATTTGGAGGCTGAAACTGCTTGAGAGACTCTATATGAAGTGGTTTTACGGTTATTATTGGTAGGGTCCCAATAGACTCCTAAGTACCTAACCTCATTTGATAGCGGAACCGGAGTAAGGGGAGCATGCATGCCGCCGCAACATCGGCATTGGCAAGGGGTATTCGCCTGCGGTGCATAGTATATTATACGGTTGGGCGAGTGCAGGCGCAAGTGTTCGCATTTGTCTTCATTGAGAAGGAGACCTCTTTTATGACCATGGTGTTGTACTGAGGCGGTTATGTTGTTCCGCCGAACAAGAAAGTAAGACAGTGTCATCGGCGTACTCCAGATCCCATAATGGGGAGGGCACGTGAAAAACTCCTGAAATTTCGCCGAATCTGGATTGGTACTCTGTCTCTACATCGTGAAAGAGGTGGGTCAAAACAAAACCAAACAAATAAGGAGACAGTGGACATCCTTGGCGCAAGCCTTTGGTTTGTGTTCTGATAGTAGACTTGTGAGAGGAGTCACGTACCAAAAAGGTGGGGTTATCGTATAGAGCCATGATAACTTTTCGGGTGTGGTCGGGGACTCCTACATGAGTCATAGCTGCGTCTATCGCCGTAAAGGTAACGGAATCAAAAGCTTTGCTCCAGTCGATGAATAGAGCGTGGAATGGAGTGTTTTGCCTTTCGTATACTTCGAGAAGACGACGGATAATGTGAATAGGCTGGGTAGTGGAGCGATTCTTGCGAAACCCGAATTGTCTATCTCTCACTCTAGAGTCGAGTCCCCTCTCTAGTTTCTGTTGTAGCATAGAAGCGAAGATCTTGTACGAAATATTACTAAGAGAGATGGGTCTGTAATTGGAAAGGAGACGGGTGTCTTTCTGGGTGTTTTTTAGGATCATAACGACCTCCGAAGAGAACCAGGAAGGGGGAACCTTTGCTTCCTGGTAGCATTGATTATAATGCGACAGGAGGTACAGTTTCATAATGTAGGGAGCATGTTTGTAAATCTCCCCGGGGATTTCATTGGGCCCTGGGGCTTTGCTATTTTTGAGGCGTTGCAGCGCGGAGTCCAAGTCATGCATAGTAAATGGGGAGTCAACTGCAGAGACTGGCGGGTGGGGATCTATCTGTACGATGGGTGGATAGCCCTCAGTGTGCCAGACTTTTTTGGAGAGATAATCAGCAAAAGTGGTGGCTCTTTGTGAAGAGGAGACCAACTTGTCCTGTAAGTTGTACAATCCCACAACGCAGGGGCGGAACTCTGTTCTTATTTGTCGGGCGTGGGTCCACTGTTGCACTGAGCTTCCCTGGAAATCATCCTGTAGGCGTTGAGCAATGAAGAGTTTTTTGTCACGACGGGCTGATTTCTTAATAGCGTTTCTGGCTGCTTTAAGGGCAGCGTATCTGTAAACGTGGTGTTCTGGAATACTTGGACGAGATGGAGCGTATGCGGAGAGATCCAAGGCTTCTTTGCGGCTAAGGGGAGGATAGGAATGAGGGAAGTACTCTCCTTTATATTGGAGCAAAGAAAATCATCCTGGTCTGTAGTGGTCAAAGAATTCCAACCTTGTTGGTTGAAGCCAATATCTGGAGGTTGTAAAGATTTAGAAGGAGCGGTCGCAAAGCGACCCCAAGAACCAAAAGAGTGGACGCCCCATTTGGCTAACGTGTCGGCAAGTTCATTGCCTGGGATACCTTCATGAGAAGGCACCTTGAGGAGACCCTGAAACGGCATCGGAGTGCCGTATAGTATTCCTGGGCCAAGGTAACGAGCTGGTGATGGGTAGTGGGAACTGAAGACCTTAGAAGAAGGGAGAGAGCGTATTAAGAGTCTGTATATATAGTAAATAAGTCTCCAACCTGGAAGGTGGAGTAGTATAACAAAAAGTCGAACAGCTCGATGAGGGCCTTAAGTTCGCCTGTGTTGTTGGATCCCGGCAGTTCCGGGAGGTACTGAGAGGGGGCCGCCCGAACTTTGCCCCAAGACTGGAGCCAAGTAGAATCCGCAGGAGGATGTGTAGGGAGTTCCTGTCCCGAGGTAAGGGCAAAGCCCCATCCCGCTGGGTTGTCAAAAGAGACCGTACGGTTATTAGGACAAGAGCCATCCGTATATGCGATGATACACATAGAAGGTGGATGGGCGAACGTGAAGGCGTTGTCGGTTTTATCAAGGAGGGTAGTTTCCAGCTGGCTGTAAAATGAGGAGAGTTGTGTATAATCTTTTTTAAGGGTGGAATTTTTAGGGGGAGAAGACTGAAACTGTGTTTTGAGTGTGAAAAGAAGGGGGAGGTGTCGTGAGTTAATGAGCTGCTGAAATTTGGAGCCAGTATATATAAATCGTTCGAAAATGAGGAGGAGCAATAGCATAGTCTAAAGTAGTCCTATCTGCAATATTTACTCCTGCAAGAAGAGGATCCTGACAAGTCATCTCTTTATAGGATACCTTCTGCCGAAAAGGTAGGTCTCGAAAGGTTTGAGGCAATTCCAGGATTGCACCCCCCCTTTATCGTCTTCCTAAATCCATCACTACAAGCCCCGCCTCCCCGCTATCGAACGGGTCTTCCTGTCACATCCCAACCACGGTCGTCCCTGTTCCCGAACTGGTGCCCAAATCAACTTCCGCTAGGTTTGCTTGACATTGGTTTGCTTCCAGGAGAGAACAGCGCGCAGATGCAACTGTCCGAGCTCCATTTTTTGCTATGAACCAGGTAAAGAAATGGCATGGCTGCAGCATCCATGTGTCAGGGCCCCGACGCAACGGCGCCCTGCAGCGCCTGCACTGCATCTTGTGATTGTTACACAGACGATCCGGGAGTGAGCAGGCGAAAACGTCCGTGCTTCATGCCACCCTGTGCCTGCCGCTCCCTCCGCAAGCCTCGCGAATTGCTGCGCTGAGCCTGCCCAGGAAAACCTAACATAGACCGAGTGCTCTGACATCCGAGAAGCGCCGTCGATATCTTTGCCCAGGACCACGTCGTCCACCCGCGACGCTCCCCCATCCTCAAAGGCATCTGCGGCACCAAACTCTGGCCACGTGGCACTCTCGGGCCCGCACGATGTGTCTCCGACCTTCCCTGCGATGCTCCTCACCGACCTGCTGGGAAGGCTGCCATGCTTCTGAAGGGTTACTCCGTGTTTGTGCTGCTAGTTTCAACATCCTACAAAGGATCCGGACAACATACAATCCTGCGACGACTCATGCCTCTGTTCAGCTTCCTACACACTCCTCGTCCACAGCCACATGCTCAACAGCCGCATGCTGGGTTGCCGGGTCCCCCAACACGACGGCGCCCTGCAGCGCCTGCACTGCATCTTGTGATTGTTACACAGACGATCCGGGAGTGAGCAGGCGAAAACGTCCGTGCTTCATGCCACCCTGTGCCTGCCGCTCCCTCCGCAAGCCTCGCGAATTGCTGCGCTGAGCCTGCCCAGGAAAACCTAACATAGACCGAGTGCTCTGACATCCGAGAAGCGCCGTCGATATCTTTGCCCAGGACCACGTCGTCCACCCGCGACGCTCCCCCAACCTCAGAAGGAATACTTGGACTCGGAACGTGTGCAGAGGAAGAAAACGAGACAGCGGCAGGGATGTGACGACGGCCATTTCGCGGTCGTGGCGTTTCGTACCTGGCATCTTGAAGCTTCGGTTACTGCTGGAAATGCTTTCGCCGAGCTACGAAGTTGAGCTCTCCAGACTGTCTGGTTTGCCTTGGTGCCAAGCCCGGTAACGGAGCAAAGTCCACACTTCCGACACTTCCCCATGCCCAGTCACCCAGCAAAACGGCCACCCGATCTGCAGGTCCTCAGAGGATATGTGATGGAGCCGCCTCCCCCACCCCAAGAACTCTCCTGCATGATGGCGACGACCCTCCGACTTCGGCGTGCGTCCATTTGGCTCCGCTTGCACGTGCCGCCTACCTACAGGCGGAGGCTGGGTGATGCGTAACAAACGTTTTAGCTAAGGAGCCTAAGACGAGCAAGTTTGCCCTAGAAGCAAGCGAGGCAGAGGCAGCCTTTGCAAATCAATACAGTACAGGAGGGAGCCTTGAATCAGGTGAACAGGCTCAACAAGCAAGCTGGCCACAAAATAAAGGCAGTTACCACGTTCCGGCACTTTCGCACTCCAGAAAAACTGGAACCCGTAAAGAAAGAGAGCGACGACGGCAAGACTGACAGAAGGAAAGAACTGCCTGCCTCGGCTTGTGAGTGGCATCTTTCCTCCTGCTCTGCCCTGGAAGAGCTGGTCCTTGGCCTTCAGAAGCGCTGGATCCGAGGAGCCATCGACGTCAGAGCCCCATATCAGCTCGTCCACTTGCGAGTCTCCTCCACCCGGAACAGATCGCTTGCCCTCGAGCTTTGGAGCCACACCAATGCTTTTGCAACCGGCCGCTCCATCCATTCCGTTCAAGAGTTGCTTCAAGGCCGAACTCGTGGAGCCGTCGATGTCGTGTCCAAGCACTATCTCGTCCACCTGAGACGGCCCAGCTCCACCACAGCCCCCGCCTCAGAAAAGCAGAGAGACGCAACAAAATCCACGAGCCGATACCACAAATTTCAGATGCAGAAGCCCAACAAGGAGGCAAGAAGCTCTGCTGCAGGTCTTCAGACTTTGGCTTCAGCAACCAGTGGCCATGAACTCCAGCAGCTCCATTGAAGAGCTCTCCGTACTGCGAGGGATGCTCGGAGGCCAAGGGCGTGCGGTCATCTCGAAGAAGCCTCAACGTTTCAGCAACACCCTTTTAAATACGGCAACAGGCAATAGTGAGAAATCAAAACGCCAATCGAAGCCCGGCGCCCATCCACTTGTGAGACATTGGCCCCGGGGAAGCGGCGGCGAGGGGTATCGTAGGGTCGTGGAGGCCCCGTCAAATGAGGCCGCCCAGCCAAGCCTTCCTGAGCGACAGAAGGAGCTACTCCCGCCGGCCAGCTTCGGTTCTTTATGCGATCCTCATAATCCTACTTGTGCCTCCTAGTATCGTACAACTTGTCGTGAGCTTCTGCAGAATAAACTCGCAGGGATGCTTTGCTCTGCGTCGTGGTGTGGGATCCAGCTGCGGCATGGAACTGCCATGCATACGCATCGTTGTCCAGCCCGCAATCTGCTCCTGCAGTGAGCTGCTAAAGTCCTCAACATGCTCTGATGACTCTTTTGCTGTGCCCGGCCTTGACCATCAAGTGCACGTGGATAGATACGTTTGCCGCCTAAACGAGTCGCTTGGTCTCCCTTCTGCAGTGCCGGGAGGCACATGTTCTCGACATCCGAACTGGAGTTGGGATTGCCGGGCATGGCTTACCAAGCAACCGTTGCGATTCCACTTGTGCGTGTTCTGGCGAGCTCTACGCGATTCCACTTGCGCCTGTGCTGCTGAGTTCTACGTGCAAAGCCCTCTCAAACCCTTTAAACAATTAGACCGTGGCGGGTTCTCCAGGATAAACGATGGCAACGAACATGATGACACATGCTCGACTGTGTCATGATCCATCAAGTTCCAGCACGCAATATGCTGGATTTCATGAGCCCAAAGCTTCGACAATTACATGTTACACAACACTTTATGAAGCTGTATCTTTTGCTCCGCTTCTCCAAAGGCATTCGGGGCGAATAAGTTTTCCAATACGCTCATCTAGCTTACACTTACACTACACAGCAGAAAGCTCACCCCTTTCTACACGGGTGCTGCTGAGGTTCGAATTGCCTGTCGGGTAGATCATGGTAGAGGTGAAACTGCTTGTAAAAGCAGATGTATTTAGTAGGTGGAAAGGAAATTTCAGGCGGTTCGCTCAGAAAGGAGTATGCAGGTGATGCTTCACGTCTGGGCGGGAGAGCGGGCTTTGTCAATCATGTGCCTGCATGCTGTGTTGACAAACTGTCAAATGAACGGGCATGTTGGTGCAGGCCAGCATGAGACGTTCGACAGCGACCAGGATGACGCGAAAAAACTTGAAATGGAGTGGCTCGCTCCCTCTCTTTCCCTTGTTCTCTTGAAGTCTTGCTTGCTTGCTTCTTGGCTCGCTCGCTTGCTTGCTTGCTGTTTTGAACTCGCTCTCTAGAATTCGAGCAAGCAGTGCGATGTAGCCTGTGCAAGCGGGGCACTTGTTGTTCTGTCTGTGCTGCGGAACCTGTACAATCCACCCCGACCCAATAGACTTTTGGGGATGTTGGATCGGAAAACCACGCGCTTCTGGGCAGTTGCACAGAATTCAGCATGCATCCCGAGAGCTGGTATGAGAGCACGTGTATAACAATGTGCAGCGTTCGCTGCGGGTTTCCCGCGCGCCTCAGATCCTTCCCGGACTTCTAACGCAATGAGCACTGACCCGCTGGCCCCCGATCAGCCGTCTGCAGCAACTGTAGGGCTGGTAGAAAGAAAAACGACTGCAAGAAAACTGCAAAAGCCTCTTCGAATTATTCGCAGCATGAACACCTTTTGTTGACGCAATCTCTGAGCCTGCAAATCACCGTCGTAAAATAGTTATTCCATGCTATCAAAGCTACGGTCCAAAAGCTACAAATTGTCCAAGTACGAGTAATTAGGAAAACAAACTACTAAATCCGGGCAGGGGGTTTCAGATTTACGGGTGAAAACTGGCCGAGCCAAAGCCGCCAAATCCAAACACATCGCGGTTCTGAAGTACTGCTACTATACTATTACTACTGGTGTTTTTGGGAAACCACATGCGAAGGACTGCTGTGTCCCACCATGTGGCCGATCACGTGTGAATAGCGCTACCATGGGCTTGTATGACCTTGTTCAGCTGTGATGTGAAGCGCAGTTTGTTTGGGAGTCAACGTTTGGATTTTTCACCAAAAGCAACCCTCACCCATAAATCCGAAACCCCCTCGCCGGGCCGATGATCGGAGACCGGAACAAGAGCCAATAAGTAGTCAGCCGAGTCAGCGTGCACAAAGGGTTTTGGCCAGCTTCCAATTCACCGACTTGAAAGCCTCGGCCAGAACAGACATCTCGTCCTTGCCCAGCTTGCTTTTCTGCTTGACCATGGTCTGTGTGGTGCCTTGGCTGACCTCCCAAGACCCTGAACCTTAAGAGCACACCCCGAAAGCACAGTCCGATCGCCTGAACCGGGACAGGATTTATCAAGCAGGTGGAATAATACTCCCCACAACGTATCTTTTGTAAAAGAATGTCAGGTCTCGGTGCCCAAACCTTTATTGGACCCAAAAGCGCCGGGATGCCCTAAGCCTTGAGCCTCTGACAAGCAAAAGGTCAACACAAAACCCCGAAACCATGAACCCCATGGCCCTCGAAGGCAGCTGGCTTCGTTGATTGGAAACTCCAGGCCTTTGTCCCCTTCGGGGTTCAGGGTCTAATTGGGCTTTCTGCGGTCACACTCGGGCGGGCTCTCAGGCGACAGGTTTAGTAGTAATTTAGTGTTTTCAAGGCCTAAGTATCGGGCTATGGGTTCAGGGTTTTGGATTTATGAGGGATGAAAGTATGGCTAGAGTATTATGCAACTGTAGCCATGTAGCGAGCCCGTAGGTTCAGAACTCGTGCAATCGCAGTACCACAACTTCTAGGGCACACCCACCCAGCCACCCAACCACCTAAGCACCCATGGGCAATGTTGCCAACAGCAATTGCCAACATCATTATACCACCATTGTTCGTACAATCATCATCATATAAATCTCCTCATCACATCATCACTTCTTCATTATCATCTCACATCGTCGCCCCCGAAAAAACCCTCTGCTGTTTTCTACGTCTGAAGAAAGGTCTTTTTTCCCGGTTTGTGCGAAAGATTGAAAGCAACGGCTGAAGCTGGGAACATTTGCTGAAATGATGAAGCGAGTCACTCTTTCCGTCTTCTCGGCCGACTTCGTAGCTCTGGAACCCAAAGTAAGTCTTACCGTCTTCTCCTTCCACTTCCACCACGTCGCCGGCGGACACTGCGGCATCGAAAGCCGACTGGGAGTTGTTGAAGTAAAGCCCTTTCAGCACGCTTGCCGGCAAAGCTTTTTGCGATCCTTTCGAGAAGTGCTTCGTGTGGATGGTTTGGGCTTCCGTGAAAAGTCCATCGTCTTGCAAGAGAGGGAGGAAGATAAATAAGTTGAGTTGGTTTTTGTATTGGCGCATATTGGCGCCTGCAACGACACAACCCACAGCTGCCTTCCCAAAAGGCAAGCAAATGAAAGCTTTCAGTGTTTGCTATCCTGAACTAGCGTAAACATCAAACCAAACTGGATCTGTTTCGCGAAAGTGGGTGTAGGCCTATCACATGTGCAAAAGTCAGGAACGATATCGATGTTGTCTGCTGTGTCTGGTCATGGACGCGTCGTGAAGAGTTTGCGGGTTACTGTGTAGTGAGCCAGCCTCATTAAACAACTGAACACATAACAGTGCCCGGCAGGGGTAAGGCTTCCTGCGAGTTCAGGACAGTTCTACACCACGCAACATCAAAAGGCTACGAGGCTAGAGCAAGCTAAAAGCGGAATGCAAAAGTCGACAGTGGCTTCACTCGCACTTCTCTCCTTTTCCTTTCGGCTTGCCTGAAACTCGACTGCTCTGTCCTTGAAAGCATCCGGGGTCTTTGACCTTCCGGATAGAAAGCTGAGCTGAGGCAGCGGAGCAGTCGAAAAGCCCGTATCGTTTAGCAGAACAAAGTAAGCAACAGCAAAGCGGAAGGTAAGTAACAGCAAACAGCGAAAAGCAGTAAAGTATGCGTTAGCGGGCTATGACTGAGAAGCTCCCTGCGCTCAAAAGCTGCCCAAAAGGTGTGAGCGGGAGGGAAAGTTTTTTGCAAAGCAAGCAGCTGTTGCGTGGTGTATGCTTGAACCCAAGCGGGGCCGCGGGGTAAGAACTGCCGAAACAACCCTGAGTGAACACAGGAACCGTTCAGGACAGTTCTACACCACGCAACATCAAAAGGCTACGAGGCTAGAGCAAGCTAAAAGCGGAATGCAAAAGTCGACAGTGGCTTCACTCGCACTTCTCTCCTTTTCCTTTCGGCTTGCCGGAAACTCGACTGCTCTGTCCTTGAATGCATCCGGGGTCTTTGACCTTCCGGATAGAAAGCTGAGCTGAGGCAGCGGAGCAGTCGAAAAGCCCGAGCAAGAAACTGGCAAGCCGAAACCTCGCAAGACGCTCTAAAAGCCAAGTGGAGAAGTGAGGTGAGGAAGCAGAAAGCAGTGCTACTTGCGCTTGTTGGAGCCACGGTTTGTTGGGCCCAAGCTGTCAGCTGACGGAAGCTGCCATTTTAAAAATGTGTCAGCGGGAAAAAGTGTCACCTGAAAGCGTATCAGCCAGAACTCAGAAAGCGAGAGCTCGATGCGGTTCGACGCGAGGAACTTGTCGGGAAGTTCTGTGAGGCCGTCTGAACAAAAGAACGGTCTTTTCCAAGCAGCTTAGAGTCGAGCCTGCGGTACGGTTCCATGCCATATGCACTCCTGTCACATGACATGTGGAAAAGGTTCAAGTGGTTACAAAACCTAGCCGGAAAATGGGGCGTGTACATGTAGTCAAAAGTCTTCACCCCGCCTGAGCTGTAGCAACATGCAAAGCTCATCCGGCTTTTGTTCAAACAGTACACGATGCTTTAACCTTTGTGGTCCGCATCGGCGCAATATACACATGGACGATACTTCCGAATCTTCGAATGCACCGTACGAAGAACATGGCATCCTTCCTTGTGATAGCAATTACCGTTCACGGAGCAGTAGTACACAACTTCACTTGGGATATCAGCGCTTGCACTTTCAGAGCTACTTGCGGTAGACGGCTTCACACTCTCAGAGGCACTCACACGTGTACGCTCAGCAGAAAACTTCACACTCGACTCAGGTCCACGGCGCTGCTGCATGATGATGTAAATGAGCAGCACGATCATCCACTGCTCAGCGGTCATCTCAGGGATCATTGAGAATGCAACAAGCATCGCAGCAAGCATGCTCGATCCGACATCCGCCGTTGTGAGCTCGACCAACATGTTGAAGTCGCAGCCCTGATTCCGCAACCAGCTCAAGGCTCGATACAACAGCAGAAGCATACATCCGAAAGTTGCAATCCACATCGAAGTCACACGTGGCGTAAAGTGGCCACCACCATCATCCGCAGCTTCAACGCCATAAGGCATAGCCAGAAGAGTCATCATCGCAATCTGCTTTGCAAGCCTGTTTGCATTGCCCGAAAGGTGGGGCGTGCATCCATGCTCCTTCGCGTACTCGATGCGCACCCGTTTCACCTGAGCTTTAACAGATTCCCTCATCACCATTTCCTCGAACTCATCACTGCCGATTGATCGAGCAGTGTCGCAGTCAGCAACACCATGCAGAAACAATAAGCACTTCAAGCGATTCGCTGCATGCATCTTAGTGGAAAGATCTCCGAGGTTATATGCCGAGGCGATAGCACTCACCGTAATGAGACCTTCACGAACAGCTTGTTGTAGCCATAACAAGCGACCTGCAACGTGTCTCGTCTTGTTCCCTACTCCTTGACGCAACGCCAACTGGCGGGCAGCTGAATTGTCCATTTTGAGGTGCAAACTGCAACTCTCTTGTGACATGAATGTAAAAACAGCTCGCAGGAACAGTCCTTCGCATGAAGACGATATCCCAGCATACCATTCTGCCTCCGCGGAAGATAAGGAAACTGTGCGATGTGTTCGGCATATGTGGTGAAAGACTCCACCGTTCACTGCAAAGCTCGCACACCCAAAGGACTTCCGGGTAACCTTGTTTCCGCTCCAGTCAGCGTCCGAGTAGATCTCCATGTAGTGCTCCTCGTCATCCGCACGTGATTCATGAAACACGGAAGATCCTGGCCGCTTTGGTGCAATCAAAGTAGCATAGCTCGAGGTGTTCATCAGATACTTTGTGAGGCGAACCAGGCCGCGCATAGCCAATGCCGTAGGCCCAGCCATAAATCCTGCAAGAAGTCTCACAGTGTAGCAAATGTCAATCCTGTCGTTGGACAAATACAATGCAACTCCAAGTGCGCTCCTGAACTTAGAACCATCAGCAGCAGAAAGGGCAGCTGTCTGATCATCGCGAATCAGCTCGGGAAGATATGGCGTGTTGTGACTTGATCCGTGCTTAACACCAAGGATGGAAGCCATGTGTCTGATGTAGGTTTCCGGTGTCTCTATGAGAATACCAGATTCCAAAATAGTGTGTTTGCGCTTTAGAAAAGAAAATGTGTCACCCAACTGGTAGGCAATCTCGACAGAAATCTCGAACCGCGTCTTCAACGTAGGAATGTACGACTGTTTGAGCCATTCCAACGGTCCAAGTGTAAGTCCGTCATCAACATGCATGAGCATTGGTCCTTCAGGGACTCTCATGATCGCAGGGTTCTCAACGCACGACTCAAGAGGCATCTTTGACTTGAGAAAGTCGACATAATGGTTGAACCAACGTTGTGCACCATCACGCCGACCAGGCACACATTTTAGGAACACGAACTTACCGGCTCCTATGTAGTCTTGGGGCAGTCCAGCCATCACCGGCTCCTCCTGTGGCACTTCCAAGTACGCATCCTTTACATCGATAGAGGCTATGGCGTAGGTAACACCAGGTCTAGTGATTCTCCATATCAGGAAGAGCAACGGTATGATCTTGACCACGTTCGTTGTGGTCGAAGGTGAAAACAATCCTTGCTTTTCTTCAAGCCAGCGGAACTCCCTGGCCACAAGTCTGGATCTTCTGAGAAAATGCGGTACCCCGCCACGGCGCTTGCGACGCCATGTTCGTACCATTTTAGTAGACAAACTCTTCATTGCTCGAACATTGTCCTGATCACAGACCGGCCGAAGAACCTCTTTCCTGATCAAGCGGCTCACTTCTACTTCATCTGCAATCCTGTCCAAGGCATACAACTCATCAGGAGTAAGAACAGGTTCATGGCCCATGTCCTTAAACCACAACGAATCTTCAAGTGGCTGCCCCGCCTCGTTCAAGGAAGCCGAGTCGGGTTCTGCATGCGCCGAATTGGCGCCCTCATCGTCCGACCATTGATCAGACATCTGAAGGAAGGTCTCGGGGTCCTCCCATTCTGCAAAGTCAGCATCATAGCCTTCATCGTTGAGATCATAACTGCGATCACCAAAAGTAACTGTACGAATTCTTGGCATCTTGGAGGCTCGCTCTTCCACTGCTGCCGTCTCGGCAGGCAACATAGCAGCATCAGGCTGCTCAGGCATTGGTTCAAGAACAGACTCAGGGGTTTGAGGTCCCAAAGGAATACTCAAAGAAGGATTCGGTACACCAGGTGCGGCATGTGGCAACATTGGTGCATCAGCAAGTCTTGCACTCTCAGGCGGAGGCCGTGACAAGTGCAACTTAGCTCGCTTGCTCGGAACCTCAGCGGGCCCCGGCACATCTTGGCTCGATCCTGGTCCCACAGGCGTGGGAGGAAGCATAGCAGCAGGCTTGGCGGCACTAGAACCTAAGCCAACACTCTCGGGGGGCCTAAACCCTAAAGGCACAGGAGTTGGCGGGTCCGAGGCGGCTTCATCTTGAGGACTTCCAGGAACTGGTAAGGCTTGAGGCTTTCTGGTCTTTGCCGGTGCCACCAGCCGCGTCTCATAGACGCCGGAACTGTAATCCCAAGGCTGTCCTGACAGATTGTTGAACAGCTCTTGGTCCTGGCTCCACTCATGGCCAGTGCGGCGCACACTCCGGCATGTTCGGATGCCGGACCTGCTTGCAATGAGGTATCAGGTATTGATCATTGCTGCGCGTTTTGCCGACAAAGACGGCCTTCAGCCACTTTGCATTGCCTTTCCGCTTGGGCACGATCTGCCCGAAGACAGGTTCTCCGAAAGGCACAAGCTTTCCTTTGTAGGCCGTGGAATAGCATCTTTCATAAGGCGTCAATCCGCCTTGAACGGCGAAGTGGTTTCGAATCCACGCCGCGTGGCTGAAACTCCATGCAAACAGAGGGTGCTTCACTGTGATCGAACAACCAGTTTTGCGGCGCACCACATCCAACAGTGTGCAAGCCAGTCGTCTGACCAAATCCACCGTGCGCTCCACAGCGCCATTGCTCTGATGATTCCCAATCGGAGGGTTCTTCTTCAGAGTCTTCAGGCCCAACCGGCTTCTAGCAACACAGATAGCATCCTGCAGCCGAATGGTCGTCGGCTCATTGTCACAGAAAATCTCAACTGTTGGATGCCCTAGGCTCTGCACAAAACGCATCACCTCCACACCGAGGTATCTCGTAGCACTCTTCCCGGGGCACGGTACACATGCTATGGAGGATGTTGCCTGATCATGGCACACCAAGCAGCACAGCAGATCTTTGGGATCATCTCCTTCCATAACAGGCTTGTGCACGGCTTCATTCTGGCTTTCGTCATAACCAGTGTACATGAAATCAAACGACACTCGAGGAATGTCCCTCGGAGCATCAACAGTCCGCTCGCTTCGGTCCGGAAGCGCTCGCATTGCTATGCAACTGGGACACCAAGCCGCGTACGGCTCGTGGGTCAGCTCGTGTAGCAGCTGCTCAGCTCTCGAAGGCGGTGTCGGTATGGACTGCATAGAAGGAGTTCGCGAGGCATTTGCAACTGCATCACGAGTCATATCAGCAGACAAAGAAAGCTGTTGCTTCTGCAAGTACCCCTTGATGCGCTCATAGAGGCGGCGCTTGCTACCGGAATGACGCAAGCCAAGTCTGTCGCATGCACTCGCCAAGGCAGCAATCGTACTTTGTGCAGTAAGCTCCACACCGTCCAGCACAAGCTTGTCTTCGATGGCCGGTGGAGGAGGTAGCTGTTCTGGCTCCTCCATGTCAGGAAGAACTGCTGCCGCTTCGGGATCCTGCGGCACAACCTCATCTGCTTCAGCTCCACCCGGCTCTTGATCGAACAGGACATCACCTATCCCGCCAGCTTCATCATCCTCGTGCAAAGCCGGCGGCTCAACCTGCATTTCGACAGAGGCAGATGCCTCATTTGAGCACTGGATGCCCACATCACTGAGCTGCTCAAGCTTCGGATGCAAAACCACAATCAGCTCTGCTTCTCCTCCTCCGGGAATCGGGCCCTCAATATCAGCAAGATCCGCCCACTTTACACAGGTCTCAGCCACCAGCCAGTCTTCATCATCTGACCTGCGCATGATGGTTGTCCTGTAAGGCCAACCACTCACCACAACCAAAGAAGGATCAATCATGATAGAGGATTTTCCTCTCCAGATGATGTGACCTGTGGACCCGATTTGCCAACCAAACTGAAGTTTCTCTGCTTGCTCACTCAGCGTTGCAGTAAACATAGCTCGCACATGACGTGGCGGCAGATCGAGGGCCACACTTGTGTTGTGCTCGTTCTCGGGCGGCGGCTGACTCACTCTGCGGATTGAAGCTTGCACCAGAAGACTCATGCCCTTAAAGCCCAGAGGAACATCGGCACCAGAGCCGTCGTGATTCAGCCAAAATCCTTGCTCTCCACGACATGGAAACCATCCTCTCTTGATCAATCGACCCAGGCTGATTAAGGGCTGTGTAACATCTGCGATTATACATCTTTCTCTGATACCCACTGGGCCGCAGTTTGAGCTCTCGACAATGAAGTCAACGAGGCGTTCCTCGCTCACTGCCATGGTTGCGCCTTGTGCATCCTGAACTCGCAGGTTCCTGGCGGGAACATATTTTCCAGCAGAGGCGAAGCACCGAGGAAGGCACGAGATATCCGCGCCAGAGTCAATTATAACGGCCTGTGCAGTGGCATCAGATGAATACTGCACTGCTCGAACAGCTGGCGGAGGGCTCGCTTGCAAAACCAACGCAGGCTGATCAGGCGCCCTGTACCAATCATCATCGTTGTCAGAAGAATCGAGTCTGTACTCGGGGCACTGCAGCATGCGTATGCACGAGTCTCCAGGCAGCTCCAAATCGCTCACATCCACAACCAACGGCTCAGCAAACACTCGACGCACTGCAGTTGACATGGTTGAAGCTTGACTGGCGGCACTGCTAAAACTCGGAACTGCTGTAGCGTTGCTGGGCTGAGGTGGAGCTTGCCATGGCTGCTGCACTTGCTGCTGCTGCTGACCTGTTTGGTCTTGCACCTGCTGAACACGACGATCCTGCCATTGGTTGCCACCGTAGCCCTTGCCAGTGTAATTGTCGTAGCTGTAGTGCTTGCCTTTGTCCTGCTTGCCTTTGTCTTGCTTGCCTTTGCCTTGCTTGCCTTTGTTGTTGTTCCACGAGTCTCTCTGTTGCTGTTGCCATCCTCCTTGCTGTTGCCACTTTCCTTGCTTGCCACCTTTGCCATTCTTGTCCCATTGCTTGCCCTTGCCTTGCTTGCCTTTGTCGTTCTTGCCTTTGCCGTGCTTGCCTTTGCCATCTGGTTTGCCCTTCGCAAGCCTGTCAACCTCCATGGGCTGAACACCTCCAGTATCCTGTTTCAGGCCTTTGGCACTTTCTTGCAAACCGTAACTTAGTGCAACACTCGAAGACCAACGTGTCTGGGCACCATCCCAACGCAGCACAAGCTCTCTCAGATCGCGGTAGCTGCTATCATCAGTGATGACTACATTTGCATGCTGGCGAAGCTGTCCTGACAAACAACCGAGCAGCGTAGCCATCTTGTGGTTCTCTGGAACACCTCCAGGAACCAATCGTTCATACTCCTCGAAAGCAGTCTCCAGTCGAACCAGCTGCTGAGATATGCCCTGCTTGGCATCGAATGCGGGCCATGCTGAAATTGTACGCAGCAAAGCAAGAACTCTGTTGCGAGACTGAGGCATAAGGTCTCGGGAAAGCAATCTCCAGGATTCATAGCCGTTTTGACCGACAACGGATCTGAGGAGGCGGCGGCCTCGATCGTAGAGCAATCCATTGAGCACACCGTAGAGCAGTCTTGCCCTGGCCTTTGTTTGATCAGACATATCCTCAAGACTCACAGGTTCATTCTGTTTTGTGTAGCGCAGAAGCTCACTCGAAAACTCCGGATCAAGGCATGCGAGGTATTGCTCCACTGACCAGCTCCATGCTGGCCACAAAGAATACTCCTCTTCTCGAGAAGCAGGCTTGAAGCTCTCCGGCTTCGGAATGATCTTCGACAGGTCGCCCAGTCCAAAAGTTCTGGCCCCGACCGGTCCCGCAGAAGAAGATGCTGTCGCAGCCGCCTGGGCTGCTGCACTCGCTGCCTGTGTGGCTTCCGACATACGCTGCATCAGCATGTGAAGATCCGAGGCCGTCATGGCCAGGCCCCCTGAAGCTGCAGGGGATGCCGCTACGGGGCTGAAGGGATTCGCTGGATGCGTTGGCTCGAGCGCTGGTAGCTCCTCGTCTGTGTCTGAATCTATACCCGCTGCACCTGCTGCACCTGGTACTGCCATTGTTCAAGGTAAAATGGTATTGGGCTCAATCAAGGTCAATCTCCACAGGGCAAGTCGCACTCTCCAGCTTCTTGCGAAACTTTCTGCGACTTGGAGGTTCCAAATCGATGGGCTTCTCGAGGGGCTTCTGCAAACTTGTAAAGTGCGTTGTTTGATCAAATAATTGCAGATCTTTCTCGAAATTGGCTCCCTCTTCTGTTGCGAAAACAAACTGTTCAACCACAGAGTTAGGCACTGCAAACTCAGCCGCGTCCTCAGCGCAAGAAGTAATATACACCTCTCTGAGGTGCGTATCTCTCAGCGCACGAAGTGCAAAGCGGTGTACGTCCAGGATGTTATGCAAAGTGCTCAAACGATCCTCGAAAACTTTCTGTATCCCAGCAAGAATGTCACTCCAGCCTTGTCCTGTACGGCCGGCTGGCCGAGGTCTCTGCAGGAGCTGTTCCAGGTACAGTTGTCGCACACGCTCTTTTACAGCTTCAACTGAGTTGTAAGTGCAGGCCGTGGCTGAGATGGCGACAAGCAGAGCTACGTCTACTTCGCCGAACAAAGTCCTAAAGGTTCACAGTTCGCTCTCCCTCGCCAACACAGAAACCTAAACGCGACCCCCGTGGACCGAAGCTGGTACAGACCAGCTCCGCTACCATGAACAAAAGAACGGTCTTTTCCAAGCAGCTTAGAGCCTGCGGCACGGTTCCATGCCATATGCACTCCTGTCACATGACATGTGGAAAAGGTTCAAGTGGTTACAAAACCTAGCCGGAAAATGGGGCGTGTACATGTAGTCAAAAGTCTTCACCGTCCCAACGCGAAAGCAGGTCTTCGTCGTCGTTCTTCTCGCCAGCTATGTGGCTGCAGTCCAGAGTGACACCGGTAATCGAGCTCCACATCGAAAGCTTGCGAACAAAAAAATTAAGTGGTACTTTAGAGGTGTAAAGCTTATTGCACACTGACTCTGCACCACTGTTATCGCTCAAAGCTGGTAATGTCAAATCCAAGCGACCGGATCCGTGGGCTTTCCAGAAAGCCAGAAGTACTACAAAGCACTGCGCCAAAGTCTCGTAGCTGGAAATGTCCAAGTTGGCGTCCGGTTGCATTGGCAGACCTAAGTCCAGAAAGTCGTTGACAGTGTAGCGGTGAGCAAACCAAAGCAGGCGCCCACTTGGGAGGAGGAGCCATCCTCCCACCCCGCAATCGTTGCCTTTGCCGAAAGCATCCGCAGCAGACTCCACCGAACTGGTAGGTGGTGATCGAAGCGGCCTTGGCCGCCAGTCCCTGGAGCTCAAGTGGGCAAAGAAGGCAAGGGTTTCTCTGCTGGACTCAGATAAGCGCCTCTTGGAGGAAGTGGGGTCCGTGACGCGGAGCCACATGCGCTTCGTGCTTACGGGGACTAAAGCCAGGTCATCTTTGCTCTTCAGAGTCTTGTGCCGAGCTGAAAGCAAGGTTGAGCCCGGGGAGATGCTCGTGCCCGGAGGGCTGCTTGTGAAGCGGAGCTTGTCATCCAGGTAAGCGTGGATGCCTGGCCAGGAAACTGGGCTGATGCTGACATTAGTGCCAAGAGGTCTATGCATGTCATCGTAGAGAGTGCATAGCCAGGGGCGTAAAGCCGGAAGCCCATGAAGTATCCACTGAAGCAAACCAAGGAGTTTGTCAAGTTGTTTACGGCTGACGAGTCGATGCCGTAGACACTCCTCCACCTGGCCAAGCAGCTTCAAGCGTTTAAGCTCCGGTAAAGTGTAACAGCCAGCCTGGAAGTCGATCTGCCAACCTATCCAGGTTATGGAGGGTCCCATCTGCAGTTTCCGCCAACTAAGCGGTATATTGAAGCAGGCGCAGAATGCCAAAACCAGGGAAGCGCTAAGCGGAAGTGCACGAGAGTTTTGCCAAAGAAGCAAATCATCTACGTACAGCATGAGGACGTGTGACAACCAGATAAGTAGATGTAGGCATCGCACAAAGAAGCCCCCTAAGCGGGCAAACCAGTGGCTTGAAAAAGTGGCCCCGAAGGGACAGACGCGGTAGAAAAAGAGGCGTTCTTGCTGTCTCAGTCCAAGCAGGCCTCTGTCTTGCTCGCGCACAAGCGATGTTTTGTGCGCTCCCTTCACATCTAAGCTGACCCCAGAAACAGGCTCCTCATCTTCCCTTGGAGGGTAAGCGGCCTGTATGTCCTGAAGACTGGGCAGGGAGAACTGTTCAGGAACATGGCAATTCTGGTTCGTGTTGCAAATGCTATTGTCGATAACCAAGCGGGCAGCGCGACCGGGAGCCTTGACAATGTTCACGCGACCCACTGCAACACGTTCTTGACCCCACCGTTCATAAGCGGCCTCCAAGCTGGGAACTTCTTCTATGCAGCCGGCGGACACTTCCTCCTCAATCAACTCCTGAAGCAATGCGGGATCTGCCTCAGCTCCCTGCCAGTTTCCTTCACAGAGAAGCAGGTTAGTGGGTTCATCTGAGTTGTCCGGGTCGCGCGGCCGAAGTGTGTGGCTGCGTGGGATGTCGCCGTCAAACCCCGTGGGAACCCCTTTCTGCAAAGCGGGGAAGAGAGAGGTGTCCTTGTCACCCAGAATGGTGCTTAAGCGCTCCAGTGCAGACAAACAGTACGGCTGGCCCTCCTTCACCGAGAAATTCCAGTCCTGGCACGGGGAGTGTGAATCCGAAAAGCGCTTGAAAGACGAGCGAAGCCACTCCGTTTCTTCCTCTGAGAAAAGAGGTTTATTGCTGGCTTCGGCGACATGTTGCTGAAGCCGAAGCGGAATTCTGTTCCCAAGCAGCCAAGATTGCCATTCCTTACGCAGGTCGTGTAAGCTGTCAGACTGGTACCTTGGGCCCAGGGACCAGTCGGGCAATGAATAAATGCCCCCGCCATCCTGTGCGGCTGTAGGTGTTGATGAACGTGGCTTTTTGGGAATTGAGGCCAGTGCGAACTTCAGAGAGCAGGGAGCAACCGGGTAGGAAGGTTTGCCTGAAGAAAACAAGTTCACTGCCTTCTGGGAGAAGTTCTCGGCAAGCTGGGACGGGTATTCTGCCGTCCTTTGGGACAAGAAGTTACCGTGTTCGTCCCTGGCGCCTGCGACAGACTGGTGGCCTCCTTCGTGTGAGCATGTGCCTGCCAGAAAGCGGAATTCACTGTAGCTGCAAGCGAAAAGCCAAGATTTAGCTATGTCCTGGCCCACTGAACATGCCGGGATGTTGACCAGTGAAGCTTGTATTTCGGAGAGCATATCCTGAACAAAAGGCTCCAGCCAGGGCATAGCGTTGGTGGGCTGCTCAAGGGATACATGTGCACCTGAACCGAACGCGGCTCGGAGAAGGCATACACAGCGGTATAAAAGCTTCTGGCTGCTATGTACCCTGGCTTGCTGTAAAGCGGTGTTCCCTGGTAGGCCATTCAGATGATCCGGAGATCGAATAGCCGGGGGGCCACCTGGACGAAGCTTTAAGCGAGAGTACTCCCGAGCCAAGCGGACAATCCCTGAAAAACACAGCCGAAGGAGGTGGTCGTAAGTGTCGTCGTTGAGCAAGTCCAGTTGATCCTCGCCAAGCAAATCGATGGGCAAACAAGTGATGCCACATGACGACATCGCCGTAGTAAGTGGGTGAGCGGCCCCACAGCATATGTCCAGGAAAAGCTCAACGCATGTTGCGTCCTTGAGCGGGGGCGATATTGGCTGAGGATTACCTGGGGTTGCCGACGGGAGCGGGAAGCCCAATGACCTCAAGTGAGTAAGAGACTTTGAGTCGAAGTTGTCCAAGTGCCTGCAAGTATAGGCAGTCAGTACCCACCTGTCTCCTTGTATCGGCATCGTACAATGAAGCGATTCACAGCTGAATGAGAGCGGAGCATGCCAAGTGTCCCGCAACTCACCTGTACCAGCTTCTGTTGCGCTGTGCGCCTCGGATGAAGCATCCAAGGGTGCTGGGACTTGAGGCGATGCACTTCTTTGCTTCCTTCTTCTTCTTCGCTGTCGTGGGTGACTTCCTTCTGTTCCTTTAGCTGCTCCTTGAGCCACTCCTCACGCTGCCGTGCCTGCGCTTTGCACTTTTCCTTTCCTTGCTTGTCCTTTGATCCTGCTCGCCAACCAGTTTCCTTTGATCCTGAATACCAGTACCACTGGTCTTCTCTTCGTTCCACTTCCACTGGTAGTTCCTGCCTTGGAAACTGTAGACTGCAAACCAGTTTCCTTCAAACTCTCCTTTTCCTTTTCCTTTCAAGTACGACGCTTCGTTCACTGGTCCTTTGGCGGAAAGTTCTGGGTCTTCCTTTTCCTGCTTTCCTGGCTTGTGCTTTGTCACGCTTGGTGGCTCCTGTCCTTCTTCCTTTCCTTTTCCTTTTCCTTCTGGCTTTTCCTGCTCCTTTGTTGGTGTTGTGTCTGGCTCTGTGGGTGCCTGCGACCCGGCTGCCGATCCTCTGCTCTCAAGCTCCTGTGTAAGGCTTGCAATCCTTTCCTTATCCTCCTTACGTTCCTTCAACATCTCCTCCATCATTTCTTCCAGCTTCTTCATCCTGTCTTCTTCACGTCTCGGTTCCACTTCTCCTGATCCTGACGTTGTTCCTGCTGCTGCTGCCTTCTTTTCTGCTTCCTTTCGGGCAATGTATGCCGATGACTCCTTCTTGTCTTCCTCTCTCTTCTTCCTTGCTTCCTTCTCCTTTCTCTTCTTTTCCTGTTCCTTTCTTTCCTTCTCCTCTTTGGCTGCTGCGGCTGCTTCCTCTTCTTTCTCCTTCTCTGCTTTGGCTGCTGCTGCGGCTGTCTCCTCCTTTTCTCTTTCCTCTCTTTCTGCTTTGGCTTTGGCTGCTGCTTCTACCTCTCGCCTTCTCTCGGCGGCTGCGGCTGCTTCCTGCCTTGCTGCTTCCTTGTCTCTCTTCTCCTGCTCATCTGCTGCCGCTTCCATGATCTTCCTTGCTTTGGCAATCTGCTCCTCTGTTGCCTTCTTCTTCTCTTCTGCTGCCGCTTTTGCCTCTTGCTGTTCCTTTGAGATCCTGTCCTGTTCTTCCCAGTACTTGCGATCATCATCATCTCGAGGTCGAAATCCTGTGCTCTCTGCTCTCTGCTTTGGCTTTCCTCTTCCTTTGCCTGCTTTTGCGTCTTTCTCCTTTCCTTTTGTTCCTTTCTCGTGCTTGTACGTGTAGTCCTTGTCCACGTATTGCTTTTCTCCTGTGACTCTGTGCTCTCTGTAGATGCTGCCGTTCTCGGAGTATTCCTTCCACTTGCTGCTGTAGTCGTAGGGGTACGGAAAAAGCTTCTTTTCCTTCTCTTTCTCCTCAAGTCTTTCCTTGCTCTTGGCGTTGATCTCCTTGATCTTTTGTCTCCTTGCTTCTTCCTTTGCTTCTTCGTCCTCTTCTTCTGCTGCTGCTGCTTCTCCTGGTGCCTCTGTTTCCTTCGCTCCTTCGGGGTACTCCCCGGGATCTTCTCCTCCAACGTAGCTGTCCACGTAGGCCTCGTTCTCGTTCTCACCGAAGTAGTCGTAGTCCTCGTCGCGTTCCTGAAGTCCTTCAAAGTAACCTTTGTCCGACCAGTTCCTTATGTCGTCTTCTCCTTTGTGTTCCTGGGAGGTAGGTGACGTAGCTCTCGATGGTGCTGTACCTGGTCCATGTCCTTCACGACGTAGTTCTCCTTCTGCTTCTTTGTCCTTGGCTTCTCTTTTCCTTTGCTCTTCTTCGTCTTCTTCTTCCGTCTTCCTGCTCGTAGAAGTCGTTCACAAGCGTCTGTACCTGGTCCTTCAAGCTGTCGCACGTCTCAAAGACGTAGGCCATGCGTTCCTTGGCTTCTGTGCGGTCTCTGTCGTTCTGCTCGGCCATCTCCTGGACCTGAAACTTGACGTCCTGAATTTGTCCCGTCAGGGACTTCACGCAACTAGCCACGTGTTCCTGGGATCGACGCAATCGCGTCGACTCTTCTGTGTTCTTCCTGATCGACTCTGCGATCTCGTTCCTTTCTGTGGCGGCTTCCTTTAACGCTTCCAGTTCCTTGAGAACTTCACTGTTGCTTCTTGCAGAACTGGCGCTAGCTTCCATGGCTGAGGTTCCTTGGCCTTCTGCTACTGGCTTGACTATTCCTTGTACGCCTGAGCGTTCCGCGAGTGTTTCGCAGAATTCCTTGAGCTGTGAAAGCATCTCAAAACATGAGGTTTCATGTGCTGTTCCTGCAGACGTTCCTAACTCACATGCGCTCATGTCACTGCATATGCCGTCCTGTGCACATGCACTTGCAAAACAGAAAACATGTTCCTGAAACTCTGGCTGAAACTCTTCCTGAAGAAAACAACTCTCAAAACTGTGTTCCTTGCAACTCTGAATCTGAAGACTGTCTGAAATTCCTGAAATACCTGCAAACAACAAAGCTGCAAACGACAAAGTTCCTGGGCTCTTGATCATTTTCACAACTGCTTTGGCTTGTGTTTGGGCCTTGTGTTCCTTGAGCTCTTCTCGACCTACTGGTTCGTTCTCTCCGGTTTGAAAACCTAACCAATGCAACAGCAATCTAATGCGCTTCGCTGAAAGGGGCTTGGTTCCTATGTCGGCTGTGTTTTCCTTGGTTCCTACAGGGTGCACGCTGATTGTTCCTTG